AAGAAAAATAAAATACTTCACTTTCTTCAGGTTCCATTGTATAGAGTCCCTCTTGCAGGCATTCATACATTTTGTCAGCATTACTGCACATTACGCATAAAACACTCTAACAGCCCACTAGGTAAGACCATTCATTTCAGGTCCTCATTGGAGGTTCCAGAGAGGTCACAATGAGAAGATAATTCTAGAGGTTTTCTAAATAATTTTTAAAATAATTTCTTTGTCATGAGATCATACTGTTCTTGGCTTCTTCTTAGTTTCAAATACTGTTTTCTAAATAATTTTTTAAATAATTTCTTTGTCATGAGATCATACTGTTCTTGGCTTCTTCTTAGTTTCAAATGCTTTTCCTGTGTTTTTGCCTTAAACGCAACTTTAAGAATCAAGTATAGGTTTTTTTTACTGTTCATCTTATAGGAACTAAATCTAGCCACCTGGGAGCAAATATGTGGCCAATGAGCCTAGGATTCTATCATATTAGGAAAAGCTTCCTGTCACGGTGATTAAACACTGGATAAATGGCCTAAGGAGGTTGTGGAATCTCCATCACTGGATGACCTAGATCAGAGCTACTCAACACATGGCCCATGGGCTACATGCAGCCTGCGGCCCATTTGTTTGCAGCCCATGATGTGATTTTGGTTTACGCAGAGCTCAACACACGGCCCATGGGTGGGATCCTTTGAACATGGCTTCCACTGGGAACACACTCCACAAGAGTGTGGGAGTGTGTATTGAAAGATGCAAGCAGAAGGTCTGGCTGGAACAGATGGGTACATGGTGCTGGCATTTCTAACCCCCAGGGAGGAGGTGCCGGCAGTGCCGGGGCATTGTGAGAAATGCTGGCTGCTTAGCTTTGTGGTCAAAGCCTGAGAGGTGCTGACTGGCTCTCGCTGGCCACATTTGGGTCCGGCACCATGGCTTAAGGCTTAATCTTTGTATTCATGCTGATCAGTGTGAAAAGGTTATTTGCATATATATTTGCATGTATATGCAATTACAGGTAAGTTGCAGCCCTCGGCATGGGCTGTGAGTATCACTAGGGCCCCCAAGGGTCCCAAAGTTGAGTAGCCCTGATCTAGATGCTGCTTGGTCCTGCCATGAGGGCAGGGGACCGGATTTGATGATTTCTCAAGGTCCCTTCCAGTTCTAGTATTTTACGTATATGTTAACATACACTTGTCATGCTTTCAGGGTGAGCTATACTTTTTTGTCCCTCTCGAGTGCAATCCTCTGGTGACAAACCTGACTTCCTATACATGTTACTGTGGTTGGGATCCCATGGCCCAACTACTTTGAGACAGGATCTCTGTGCAACCACCCCTACTACTTCCCAACTGTATTAACAAAATGGGACCAACAGAATTTGACACCTGCAAGTTCTTTTACTCCAGGAGTCTCTGACAGAGACTGATTAGTGACATGAAAAACATTTCTTCAAAACAAAGTATGATTTATTCTTTCACCCAATGAAACATAGCATATGGAGCGGAGGAGAAAAACTGCAAAAGGATTAAATGTATGAGTCTTATCTGCACCTTAATCTTTTCCCTCCAGCTTTTGTAAACTCCTCTCAGCCCAGTACATGCCCTTTTTGTCTGGGAGAGAGAGTGTTCTGCAGTGTTCTGTCTGTGACTTTTTCTCCTACTATGTGCATCTGTCAGTAAGCTGACAACTCTTTCACTCTCTTTAGCATCAGCATATTTAAGTTTTTGCTGCATGTTCCTAGCTTTGGCCTGGAGAAAAACTTTTTAGCAATGTTGTTTCTTCAAGCACCTTGGGAATCTTTATCTTTGTCATTAAATTCTTTCCTGCTAATTTCTTTCAATATTTCTTTTTACCTCTTGTACCTAAGCAGTTGCAAAGAGTTTTTTATTTAACTCTTTGCAACTAAGATTCACTCGATATTGTTGTGAAGGATGAAGGAAATATCTTTTATAGAGAGAGGGGGGAGCTGAAGAGCTATTTCCTTCATTCTCAACAAAACATTTGGTAAGCTTGTTGGTGAATACTCTGTATGTTACCCAGATATCTTGCTAGGTAAATCCTTGGAAAGCAAGTATTTGCAGCCCTAAAAGATAGCCGTTTTAAATCACTTTCATAATTTCATATTTTGTTTAAAAAACTACAGAATTAAGAGTTTGTCATAGTTATAATATTTTATCACTTGTTATAGTTAAAACAATAGCATTTTCTTCACATTAAAAATTGACTATAAATTGAATATTGTTAAAAATAATTTGGAATTATTTGATGTCCAATATTTGATGCCACTACATTTTTACACTGATTTGATTGCAAAACATTTCCAATTTGGATTTTCAGCTTTTATTTCATATTTAGCTGGCATCTGGAGCAGGTGAACAAGTCACCTAACTAATCATATGCTGCTTCTGGAAAATGGATTTGAAAACCACTTTTAAAATTTGTTTTGTTGAAAATGATAACAGTACTGTGTATGAAGTTACCTTAAAATAAAATTGTAATGATTTCTTAGCAGTTCCCTGCAAACAATATTTTTCTAGGCTGTAGGAAGTATGGGCATAGGTAAATAGCAAGGCTAACTTCATTTTTGTAGATTGTAGTTTTTGCTCACTTTAAATGCAGTTCTTCATTATAAAGGGCCACTTTTTTCTTAGTTCCCTATTGACTAGATCCTTCTCAGGCTAGATTTCCAATATGTGATGTTGTTGGAACTCATTTTCTTTCATCCTGTGCGATTTTTGCCTAAAGATAAATGTTCAATGTCAGTGTAAGATATCTCTGTAGTGAAATATTTAGAAAATATGAAGCTTTTGTAATTCTTCTCCTTACAGTCAAATCATACTTAACTGGAAAAAAATAATTCTATTGCTTTTTCCGGTGGAAAGACAATATACTCTGCTTGTATTAGAGTATTTTTAAGGTCATTGCTCCAGTTTTATAGTAGGAAAAGCTTTCACTTTGAAAAGCCAATAGTTTTATTTTCCCATTTTGTTCAGTTGGGAAGATTTTAATGTGCAAACAGTGAGGAAAATGCTATGATAAAACAAATGCTGATTTCTTTAGAGAGCAATGTAGAGAGATTTCTTTAGAGAGTAAACAATGTGTTTTTCAAACACATTATATCGTTTATAGATCAGTGTCCTCAAGCTTTGGGGGCAAAAAGAGTTTAAACTAGTAACTAAAATAAATTACAGTAAACTTTGGTAGAGAAATAGTACATTTTTCATGAGAAAAGGAGCATTTACTCAAAATCAGTCCATTTAGTTTTGACAGTATTTGATATGTAGTCATTTTAAATGTCTCCCTTATAAATCAATTATGCTCCTTTTTTTATTTGTGTAAGTTTTTCAATAGTGACAGGGAGAAGTTTTTTTTTTTTTTTTTTTTTTTAAGCTCATCTCTATCTGATTACTTCACAGAAGTGTTTGAATAGTCACACATTTTGTATTTTTCTCACATTTATTACTAGAATACAGGTGAATGTCTTACAGTGTTTATAGCACTCTATAGACATTTAACACATCCATTTAATTTCATAGCATTAAGAACAAAGTTTTGTGATATGAAATTTTAGTTTCTCTTCGTTGCTTAGATTTTTTTAAAAAATGTCATTTGTACCTATCACAACAAAATATCTTTAATAACCCTATGGATCCAAAGATTGATTTTACAATATGTAGATGAAATTGCCTTTTGAAAAAATGACATTTTAAATCCTTAAACAAAATAGTACACATAAAGGAGGAGATTTTACATTTGAGAGAGAGTAGTTTTTAGTAAGGAGTATTTTTCATACATTAGTATGGCTTATTAAGAAAGAATTTTAATTTTTCTATAAAGAGTTTAAGAAACGGGAGTTTTTGAGAAATTGTAATGTTCAAATTGGTGAAAAGTGTCAGAGGGGTAGCCATGTCTCCTGTATCCACAAAAACAATGAGGAGTCCTATAGCACCTTAACAACTAACAGATTTATTTGATGAAGTCTTTTTTTCCCACAAAAACTTTTTCAAATAAATCTGTTAGTCTTTAAGGTGCCACAGGACTCCACATTGATTTACTATTCAAATTGTACTCTAATTTTTAGTATGTTGAGCACATACTGTGTATCTATGAGAATTTACACAAAATATTATGCATGTGACATGAAATCTGGAACCCTTTTAAGATAAAATCAGCAAAGAAAAAGGCCAACAAACAAGCAAAAAACCCCAACAAAAATGTAAAATTACCGAACATAAAAAGAAAACCAGCTGAAATAAATGTTGACCATGTACAGTCAAAGCAAAAGAATGAAAGTAAAACATGAGAACAAAGCCAATTGAAAAGTACCAGTTGCAAAGAATAAAATGGAGAAAGTAATTTAAAACTTTGTATACAGGAAAAGGACTTTTTTTTAATGCAGCCAGGTGTAGCACTCATTTATAGTTAAACTGAATTACTTGGAGCCACGAATCCTCTCATGGTCTGGTAGAGGGAAGGTAAAAAGTGGTAATTTACTTCAGTTCTTGATAGGGTGCAGTTCTCTTCTCTCTGTTCACCCCACCAGCTCTGTGAAATAGCACATATGGAAGGTGGAACATTGGTGCTTGGTTTTCCCCTCCTGTTTGTTCCCTGGCAGGCAGCATCTGGTGTTCAGATGCTGTGCTCCCTTCTGAACCTGGTTCTGGATACAAAAGTTTGAAAGCACTGACGTGGCTGCTTAGGACTAAGGAAGGGGACCTTACATGTTTGCATTAAGGCAAGTACACGTAGGCCTTAATTAGCAAACTTCACTTTTTATATATTTTGAGAAATTATTCATGAAATGCCTGTCACTGAAGAAAAAGTCTTTGTTTCATAAATTTAAAACTAGGAATTTTCATAAAAGAATGAAAAGTATGGAACTCAGAGATCTGTAAAATTCTTCTCTCTCAGTAATTATCTTTATATCTGCATAAAGCAACTCTCATCCTTATCTAATACTAATTACACACAGTGTTTACATGGTTTTTTTTTATTTATTTATTTTCCCACAGTCTCAGTTTGAACTCCAGATCTTTCGTATTCGGGGAGAGCATGCTGTATCAACTACAAAGCTTGAAGAAACCATTGCAAATCTCAAAGATGATCTGGAAAACAAATTAAATAGAAGAAATGAAAAAGCAAAGGATGTCTGTGTGTCCACTGAAGATGATAACCCACCAAAGACTTACAGAAATGTATATATACAAACTGACAGAGAAACCTTCATAAAGCCTGATCAAGAAGAAAATAAACCTGTGAAGAATAATCAAATGGTACCTAAAAAGCTTAATATTTTGTCTTTAAATCATAATCATTCTGCCTCAAATGACAGTCAGGAGCTAGGTCACTGTACACAGACTTTAGAAAGCCTCTCATCTTGTGAACAGAAACCAATGTTGGTATCTCTGACACCCCCACCCCCACCTCCACTTCCTGAACCTTCACAATCAGCATTAGTCCCGCCACCACCTCCCTTGCTACCAGATTTGGCATCCACTCCATTGACATCCCAATTTAGATCTGGGTCATCTCCACTTCCTTCTGGTTGTGGGAATCTTCAGCTGCTGCCGCCACCACCACCACCACCTCCACCACTGCTCCCGGGTTATGGACCTCCTGCTCCACCTCCCCTGCCTGGCTGTGGGCCGCCTCCACCAGGAAATGGGCCGCCTCCACCACCACCACCTCCTGGGTTCTTTTTCAATAGCACTTTATCTTCAAATCAAGGTCCTCGAAAGCCTGCCATTGAACCTAACTGTCCCATGAAGCCTTTGTACTGGACTAGGATACAAATCAAAGACAGCAGGTAAAAAGATATTTTATTTGGATTTATAAGTATCTGTATATTTTAGAAATGTGTGTCTGTCTACTTTCGCCTGTGAGTCTGTTTGTTCAAGAGCTCCTCCTAAATGGTAAAAACTAGGACCACCAAATTTGGTATGTAGCTTTCTCTTACCATAACTTAAAGCAAGGTCAGGGTTTGGTTGTGCCAGGATAAAGAAATGCAATTGTTTCATATCAAACAGAAATGGAGGGGTGGTGGAGCAGGGACAGTTATAGTCACCCTTGACTAGAGGGGGCGGTAAGCTTGGGGAGAAGAATGCCCATGGGAGGCAGCTAGCGCCCCAATGAGCAGCCACTGGCCAGCAGCACCAGCCAGGCCCCCCCTCCCTGCCATGGGCGGCCATGGTACATGGCCCTCCAGCTCCAGGAAGAAGCCAGCTGCCACCTCTTCCCCTTCCCCGAGCTCTCCCTCCTTCTAACCCCTTGACCTGAGCCCCTCCTTACCCTTCAGTCATGACTCCTCTATCTCCCCTCATCTCCAGCACCCAGCCCTGAGCCCCTCTTCACCCCCAGCTCTGCCTCCTACTCTGGCCACAGCGTTAGCCCCCACCCAGGAGGATCCAAGCAATGCCAGGTAAATCTGTTAGTAATTTATATATCATGAGGTTAGGCATGTACAGTATTTAAGGGGGTTTTTGTACTAAAAAAGACAGAGAAGAATTAAAGATAGAGCAAAAAAGGAAAAGTGATTTTTTTTCCAAATAAGATAGGTCAAGCTTTATAAAAGCACAATAGATAATAATCTATGGCTTTCAAATAAAAAAAATAACCAAATTTGTTAAAGGTTAAAACAAAAGTAGTAGTGCATAGGCAAGATTTATAAATATAGCAATTAGGCACAAGGTAAAATAAAAGTAAAAAGCAGAGGATGTGCATCTAATGTCACTTTAGTGAGTTTGGCTATTACTGTTTGCTGGTCTTATCACTTTAGATTGTATGATCTTTAGGGAAGGGAGTGAGTTGTCCCCTGTGGTCCTAATCCTGCAACTAGTTGTCCATGTTTAACTTCTGTGAATAGTTCTGCGGGAGTCCAAAGGAATAAGGTGAAGTATAGGTGTAATTATTTGAAGGATCTCTGGCTGCCAGCTGGCCTGAAAATCTGGAAGCCCAGGGGCAATCCACAGAGACCTGCAACTCAAAGGCAATCTGCCTGGTGAGAATGTCCTCTCAGACCTTGGAAGCCTGTGTTCCCAGCAGTTTGCCAGGAGCTTGTTTGTCAAAAGTTCATCAAACCTGCATGTTTCTGTGGGAAAAAAAATAGGTTTGAAGAACTGGCATGATCCTGGATAGATCTGCTTACTGCACCAGTTGGTGATAGAGAAAAATAGACACTTATGCTTTTCAGAGTTACTTTTCTGAAGTTTTCTCTCAAATTCTGCTATGTTCAATATCATTTTGTAGGGTTAATTACAATAGTAAAAGAACTCTAAGTGACTTAGCTTAAAAGAGGATTCCTTCTGATTCAGAGCAGAGATTTTATAGCTCATCCAAGAATTAAGGCGAAAATATATGGCTGTGTTATGCAGCAGGGGAAATTAAATGATCACTATGTTCCCTTCTCATTTTAAAAATCTATGTACCTATGATTTTGGACCAGGCATGTGTCAGAGTAGTAGCACAGAAAGAATACTCTAATTTTGCATTTATACGTTAGAATAAACCTTTTGTTTTTGAAGAACACATTAAATATATGTTTCCTATTTTAAAAAGTTTCTATTAATTTTAAATAACCTGAATTATCGTAAAATGAACATCTGATTAGCTATTAAATGTGCTTAATTCTGAAAGCATTTTATTTAAAACTTATTGAGGTTTTTCTGATGATCAGCTTTTTTTTTTGGTGAGGCCTATGAGGTAATCAGCAATTTTACAATCTTAATTCCAGTATAACACAATAACATAACTTGGGATCATCAGTGTGAAATATTAGCAAGAAAAATTAAATGATTAATACAATTGTCAATTCACTTTACAATTAAAAGGATTTAAAGGGCATAAAATATTTTGGAATGAGGAGTTTCAAGTCTTGGGGCTATATTTCCAAAATTAAAAATAAGTATTAGGTATCGTGTCTACTGAAAAATAGATTTTAATTACTTTGTGATCATCTAGTCTTACCTTGTTCATATACACATAGAACCTCATCTAGTAATTTCTGCATCAAGCCCATAACTTCTGGTTGAGCTACACTATATCCAATCTTGATATTCAATTACAAAAGTATTGGAAATCTCACCAGATACTCAGTTACATGGTAAATGAATCACAAATAGATAGAAAATAACCGTTTGCATTCTTTTTGTATATTTCTAACCCCTCCACCTCGGCCTTACATCTATCTTATCTATCTCTAAACTTCTGTTGTATGTTGCACCTAGTCACAGTAATCATTTTGGAGTCAGCAGTCATGTGCATATTTACATCTCCACACTGCAATTCCACATAATTTCATTACTGTTAATAATGCCTTTGCGTGTTACTAGATGATGAGCTTTCGTGGGCCAGACCCACTTCCTCAGATCAAATAGTGGAAGAAAATAGTCACAACCATATATACCAAAGGATACAATTAAAAAAAATGAACACATATGAAAAGGACAAATCACGTTTCAGAACAGAAGGGGGATGCGGGGGGCGGGGGGAAGGAAGGTAAATGTCTGTGAGTTAATTATATTAGAGGTGATAATTGGGGAAGCTATCTTTGTAATGGGTAAGGTAGTTGGGGTCTTTGTTCAGCCCCCAGCGGGGCTGTTCAAAACTCTCCGCGGGGGGCTGAACAAAGACCCCAACTACCTTACCCATTACAAAGATAGCTTCCCCAATTATCACCTCTAATACCATTAGCTCACAGACATCTAACTTTCCCCACCTCTAATATCATTAACTCTCAGACATTTACCTTCCTTCCCTCCCCCCCATCTCCCTTCTGTTCTGAAATGTGATTTGTCCTTTTCATATGTGTTCATTTTTTTAAATTGTATCCTTTGGTATATATGGTTGTGACTATTTTCTTCCACTATTTGATCTGAGGAAGTGGGTCTGGCTCACGAAAGCTCATCATCTAATAAACCATCTTGTTAGTCTTTAAAGTGCTACATAGTCCTGTATTTTGTTTCAGCTACACCAGACTAACATGGCTACATTTCTATCACTATTTTGCGTGTTAGTGACACCTGCTGGAAGAAATAGACTCTGCGTCTATTGATATGCTTGAATTTATAAGAACGAATTGATCATTTTAGCCCACTACTTTTTTCTTTAAGTATTGTAGATTCTGGTCAAAAGCACTTCAGTACAGAAGTGTTCAGTTTGTTGCACTATGTATTTGATTTCCCAAACTTTGGATAAAGCCAGGAGAGTTGTATTCTCACATCCTCATGTTTAAACACTACTGAGAATGTGTTCTGCACACACCATTCTTAGAGGATGTGGGAGAGTGAAACTGCTTTCCCTCCTTAAAATGTACTATGTCCTAAGGGACCCAGAATTCCAAATTCTCAATGCTGAATAGAAAGCATATAGTATTTTCATTTAATCTGAAGTGAACTGAATCCTGCTGATCTCTGATCAGATAAATAACACAAAACTCAATCCAAATTTTCCCTTGAGATTCAGAAAAGTTTGGCAACTATTTTTTTAAATTTTTAATTTGTTTACTGCATTCTCTTGTTCTAAGCAGATGAGCCAGAAGAAGACAAGACTGCTGTTGCAATATTTCCATCCATATAAGGCAGAGATAGGCAATAAGTGGCCCTCTGGGCTGGATCTGGTTCCTCAGGGTTAGTCCCTGGCAGGCCACCAGATGCTTTATTTATCTGAGCATCCACAGATATGGCCAATCGTAGCTCCCATTGACCAAGGTTTGCCTTTCTTGGTCAATAAGAGCTGCACAAAGTGATAGCCTGGCTTGCACCACTTCCCACAGTTTACACTGGCTGGGAACAGCAAATGGTGGCTATTGGGAGCTGCATGAAGCAGTACCTGTGAACACTTAGGTAAATAAAGCATCTGGAGGTAAATAAAGGGTAAATAAACCTGGTGAGCTGTGTCCAGCCCATGGGCCACTTATTGCCCACTCCTGGCCTACCGAAGTAGTCAAGTGCCTTCCAGCTGCAATGTAGACATACCCTAACTGAATGAGAATTCTTTTGAAAGTCTGTTCTGATCTAGGGATGTTAAATATCGATTAATTGAATAGTCGAGTAACCTCATGAATTCTTATTGATTATTCAATTATTCAGTAGTCCCCAGAGGTGGGGCTGGTAGTCAGTGCAATCCAGACCCACTCCTGAGGAGTCCCTTAACACTTTGTGCAAGGTGCCAGACAGGAGCTAGTCTGCTAGGAGAGCTAGTTCAAAAACAAGCTCCCCTCTCAGACCGACTGTCTGTTGCCCTGTGCTGCTGCCTCTGATACAGAGGCAGTAGCACAGGGTGGCAGCAGCCCCTGTCCAGGGGTGAGGAGGGAAATGTGTGTAGTCTACAGTATTAACCTATAAGCTTTTGCTTATCGTATAGCTGGTTAATCGACTACACTATTACACCCCTCTTCTAATCTTTGTTTGGTGACCCCAGATTCTACTATATTAGAAATAATAAAAAGTAATTTTTGATATAGGGTTAAATAATTCAGCTAAGTACTTAAGTGCTATAGTAATTTTTAGGGAAGGCTTTTACAATTTTTTAGTCTGCTGGCAGTCCTCAGCTGCTGTTCTGGTTTTAAAGTCGAATTAAAACAATATATTTTTATAAACATTAGTGATGACATTTTAATTTTCTGTATTTATTTTAGCAAAACATCTATACCAACTTTATGGGACTCATTAGAAGAACCTGACATAGTTGATACTAGTGAATTTGAATATTTATTTTCCAAAAATGCAGTTCAGGAAAAAAGAAAACGCTTATCAGAGGCTTATGAAAAGAAAACAAAGGCCAAAAAGGTATTCATTATTTTCATAATTACATTATTTTTATTGAATGTGTTCATATTTCTCTGTTCATTCAAAAAGCAGTTATTTATATTCTGTTTGATTGAAACTGACAACAAAACTTGAATATATGGAAACAAGAATATTTTCTGGGGTTTTTTATAAGGGAAATATCAAACCACTAATCCTCATCTACACATTGCCATTTTTACAAAGGACCACTTGCATTGCTTCATTCTAACATGTTTGTGCATATTTAAAATTTAAGTTAAAAAACAAAGTATTGAAAAATGATTTAACTTTGGTGAAAGTGAGAGGCATGAAAGAATGAGTGTGCATCACATTACACAAATGTTAAAAATCCATGCTGATTGTAATGATAAGGCCTTTTTTGTTTTTATTGAAAATTCTGCATTTTAGAAATGCTATTATTTGGGTCTTATTTTTTTTTGTGAAAATTTTGGACCACTTAAGTACATAGAAATATTGATTGTTACAAAAAGGCCAACACATTATATTACATTACATAGATAAGTTTAGAGTTGATCATAATTCAGTTTAAGTGTAAATGTGAGTTTGTCTATTAAAATAATGCAGTGTAGTAGAAGATACATGTGTGACGGTGTCCCCCACACTTTAGGATGTTTGGTTTATGAATATAAATATGCATAACTCAAATGTTTAAACAAAATGTCTCATGTAATCTATCAATTTTAATGTTACAATCACCTGGATCTGCATGTATCATTCTTATATGTAAAGTTAGAAATATCAAGTATGAGACTGTTTATAGCTTAAAATGTGCTAATGAGAGCCATTACTGGTGCCTCCCCTCCAGAAGCCTTAACAACTGGGTGATTGACTTGTAAACAGCCTTGTTTGTCCTGCAAGTCTAAAGATGGTTTATCTAGTAAGACATGTGACATACCACTTGGTACTTGGGTTCCATTTTTTGATCCAGGTGTAGTTTTCCATGGAAGAGGGAAGGTAGAACAAAAGATTCCCATTCTGGGGAGAAGGCTATTTAATAACTTCCCCTTCTTAGCCCTTTGGCTGGTATGGAAAATCCTGGAAGGATACAAAGGGCTAGGGACCCAGGTCAAAGTAAAAGAGGTCATCTCTGACCTAAAGAGTATGCCTAGAACAAGCACAGCTCATTAAGGTAAGAAACTTCTTGCAACAATTTTTTCAGTGAATTAAAGTTAGCTATGCATTTTCTTTTCATTTTAACTTAGTAACTTACTTCGGTCAGTTTGTTTTCACTTGCAACCACTTAAATCTTACTGTTTGTACTTCATAAAAATACTTTTGTTTAATATCAGGCTCAGTGTAATTATATTTGAAGCGTACCCCTACACAATACAGTAGACTTCCGATAATCTGGCACCTTTGGGACCTAGGTGGTGCCGGATTATCGGATATGCTGGAGTATCGGGAGGTACTCTGGTGGGGGACTTTGACAGGTCTGCGGGGATGTGCACTGCATCTGGGGATGGATGGGGGATGGTGTGGTGAGGGATGAACCACCCCTCACCCCCCTGCTCAGTGATAACTACTGCAGTCTGGGGGGTGGGAGCTCTCAGCGGCGGTGTGGGGCTTCCCCCACCTTCCTGCAAAACGGTGGAGGGTTTGCCCCTCGTCATGCCATCCCCCCCCAACCCCCGGCTGGTCGCAGTGTGCTTCCCGGCAGACCCGTCACAGGGATCTAATCCCCTTCCCCTCTTCTCCCCTTTCCTTTTTCAGCCGCGATCGCCCATGGGGCTCATAGCAGCTCCAATTGTCCGGCTGGCCAGAGCACTTCTGGGTTCCAGTTGGTGCCGGACTATCGGGAGTGCCGGACCACTGGATGCCGGACAATTGGACTTTTATTGTACATTAATTTTTCATTTTTATTTTGCTTAACATTTCCTGGGAACATGTCAATGTTTGTTGTATACATTTTAAAATAGGTGCAAAATTAGTGGGAAATTAATTTACAATTTTCTGGGTAAAATATTGAAGTTAATATTGGGATGGAATGACAGGAAAAAGCAATAGAGAAAAGGAAGAATATTAAAAGCAATTTAATGGTGTGGTTTATTTCATGAATTTAACAGTATGAACATGTATGTTGACATAGGAAAGTATGTGTGTGTGTGTGTTGTGATGGGGTACAGTAAAAAAGGAGTCTTTGGGATGTCCCCCCAGTGTGCTGATTATGTCACTGATACCTGCATTCTTACTCTCTGGGGCTGTGTCTAAACTACAGAGTTTTTTTTTCAAAAAAACTTCACTTATATCCATACTGTAATCATATTCTTTAGAAAAAAAATCGAAAGAACAGAAGGGTTTTTCCAACATTGGTAAACCTCTTTCTACAAGGAAGAAGCTTTTTTCCAAAAGAGCTCTTTTTCCGAAAGGACAGGCAAGAGGGAGTTCTTTTTCGAAAGAAGAGGAAAAAACACAGGTGCCCTGGTGGCCACTCTGTCCACTGTAACCAGAGCTTAAATGCGAGAGAGCATCCATTCAGCATGGACACTATCTTTCAAAACAGCAGATCGCAAATCAGAAGATCTCTTCCGGAAAAGCTTCTTCCAAAAGAAGCCTTCAGTCTAGACGTAACCTGGGATTCACCACCACCCTAACCTGTTGGGCCAGACTCTCTAATCTCCCACAGACAAGGCACAGAGTTGGGCTTACTGCCATCCCCTGCTCCCCCCAAATACCAATGCAGAATAAAAGTTTTACAAAAACAGAGATTTATTTGGGGTTTTGATCCCCTTTGGGAGTTGGTTTCCAGAGTGCTCTGATCTAAAATTGTATTCTCCCAGAGCTGAAGAAGTTCTGTGTCTGCATTGCTCTTTGCCAGACCAGGGAGCTCCAATTTGTAGCTGGTTGGTGACGTCAGTCCTACTGATTGCGGCAGTCCTTGTTTGCTGTTCCCATTTCCTCCCCTACTATTATAGAGCAGTAGCCAGTAGTGAGGGCACCTAGGATCACTCCGCCTCCTATTCGGTCACTTCTGTGATTATCCAGCCCTTTCTTTACAAGTAGGAGCCAGTAATGAGTGATCTGTTATCTCCCGATGGGCCACGAGTAGCCAAAAGCCTTCTTGATTCTGGGCCATAAGGATGCAGGCTTAATTCTCACATTAGGAGCCATGCTCTAAAGTCTGTACATTCTATTTTGCTGTTGGTTAGAATATTCATAGACATACAAATGATAAGTAACTGTATTTTAAAGTGAGTTGTTCAATAATAATAATAATAAATCCATGCCAGTTGTATTTATACTAAAAGGCCCAGTACAGTAAAAGTGACAGAGCCACTAGACACTTTCTGATTTATACTGTATTCAGAGCTGTTATAGCATCTTAAATGGTTACTCACACTTTAAAAAATGGACACCGAAATATGGTCTTAAAGTAAAATTAGTCCCCTAACAAAGAAGGATGTTAGTCCATGAGGTGATTGACATTATTTTGTTACTGAAGTAGTCTCAAATCATTATATATTATATGCCATAAGCATTGAGTTTCCCTGACTGGAGCCACAAGAGGGCACCTTGGATATAATCTTTGCTTTTCTCATACAGAATTAGAAAAAGAAAGAAGTTTGACAACCTCTGGATTGTTTTTGATCAGAAAGTATTTGTCTTAACACAGTAATTAATCCTAGATATAAATACCAGTTAACATAAATATACTCCAAATGTGTGTTAAAGTGGAAGATTGATTTTATTGTCTATATAAAAGCATTTTAAGAATACCACACTATTTGGGTTGTTACATGTTCACTATTTTTTTTTCACCTGAACACACCTGCTTATATATGAGAGAAAAATTTCCTATCATATTCTGCTTTACAAAACTTTAGAGTACAGACAGTCCCTGAGTTACGCGGATCCGACTTATGTCGGATCCGCACTTACGAATGGGGCTTTCTCGCCCCGGAGTTCGCAGGCAGCGGGACCACCCAGAGCGCAGTGGTCCCGCCACCTCGACCTCCAGGGTGAGAAAAGCTGCTCCGGGTGCCCCTGGTCTGCTGGGGACCGTCTCCAGCAGACCAGGGACACCTGGAGCAAAGCCGGGGAGGCAAAGCCTCAGAGGCGCGGGACCCCTCCACCTCCCCAGCTTTGCTCCAGGTGTCCCTGGTCTGCTGGTCCTGGTCGAAGTAGGAATAAGAGATCCTCCGGAATAGGGCTTTATTCCGGAGGATCGGGCCAGTCTAGGCGCTTTTTTTCCGGCTTTTCCCCAAGCCGGAAAAAAAGCGGCGGACATGTTTATTTAAATCCGCGGGGGATATTTAAATCCCCCGCGGATTTCCCTATTCCCACTTTCAAAATTAGCATGCCCCTTCCGAAAAAAGGGCCAGTGTAGACGTAGCCAGGCTGTATAAGTTTACACTGTGATTTTTGCATCAAGTCCAGTTCCTTGTGTTGATACACTGTAATATCTTTTGAGAAAAAAGTTCTCGTATGTGTATATGCAATATCCAAAACACTTAATCAGTAATACTAAACTTTTTGTCCATCACTTTTAAAATATAAAGGTCCCAGCTTTTAAAAGTTAACTGAAAATCTTGGACTAAAGCTTTTCTTACATAAGGATCCTTGTGAATGGCTAGTTACCAGGTCACAGTAGCACTTGAAAATCTTACAGACAGTTTGATCCCTTTGTATATTCTTGTGTTTTTCACTGTCTCTCTGAAATCCCAAATGTCTGCTAGCTAGCACCAATGGATCAATCATGGTGGGCTCCTTGCAGTCCAACAGGGAGTTATTTTACTTAATGACAATGCTGTATGTTATCTGATGGTAATGGAAGGTTTATGGTGGATTTATGTAGAACTGTTAATTCTTCTTTTCTCAGTCCCCTTCTCACTCTCGCAGTACCTCAGGTTCCCTTTTAAAGTAACCTACCAGACAACTCAATCTAGCCAAACATTTACCTTCTGTTTGTCTCAGTATTTGCTTTACTATTCTGGGATTGAGAATCCCACAGTGTCATAGAATACAGCACCTGTTATTCTGAC